CCTCTGCTGCTGAAAGTAGGTATCTGGTTTGTGTCGGTTCTATAATCGAAACTCTGTATCAACTCCAGCTCTGAGATCCCGGCTAGCTGAAAGCTGGTATCTGGGTGTTTTTTTTTATCTTCTATATTTGTTAAAATGTTTCAAACTGCAGGCTCAGAGGCCTGCAAGGCACGCGGAGAACGTTGGTTTCCTCTGTGACTGAAGCAAGCAAGCCTCATGTTAGTTTCAAGCTGCCTGGCTGCCGGCTGCCATCTTGGCTGGCAGTTAATTTGCATATCTCGCTGATTAGCCACTGGGAAGGGTAGTGGTCGTATGCCAATTACCATGTTTCTCTTTTATTAGATAGGATATTTTTACAAATTTGGCCTATTTAGAATCATTACCACTGTTTGTTTTTCTTAAACTGATGATGTGGATTGAATTTTATTCTCTAATCACTAGCCATCATCCAGGTTAGTATAATGAATATAAAAGCACAAACTTTGGTGGAGCCAAACATGTGACCTTTTTTTTTTATATATATGTTTTTATTGATTTCTGAGAGATGAAGGGAGTGGGAGAGACAGATAGAAATATTACCGATGAGAATCATCAATTGGCTGTATTCTGCATGCCCCCTACTGAAGATCAAGCCCACAACCCAGCCATTTGTCCCCACAGGAATCAAACCATGACCTCCTGGTTCATGGGTTGACTCAAATCGCTGAGCCACACTGCCAGGGCCATATTGGTCTTAAAATGCCATTCACAACAGATGGTGAATATTAAAATTAAGGCCTTGTAAGACTTATAATTTTCTAACAAAGTAATTTATATATTTAAAATAAAAAATTATTTCAAAGAAGATTTACCTTGTCCTTGAAGATGAGATATATCCAGACCCTCTTTTAGGCGAATAACCACTACTCCGTATTGTATGTCAAAGGCGTCACTATAATAGGAAAAATATAAAAAAAAATTTGTCCCTCCTCTATAAAATGAAGGCAATAATTGAAGGTCTTTAAAATTACTTTCAGCTTTAACATTTGATTCTTTAATATGCTTAAAATATTATGGTGCGAGCCAAGATAGTTTCAAATACTATACCATTCCTTTTCCCTTTTTTTGTAATGCCTCTAAAACTATTTACATGAAGATCTTTATAATACTGATAATGTTAAAGCAGCTATTTAAAGCAGTAACTATTTTTATCCTATTAGAAACAAGCTAAAATTATGGAGTCAAACCATTATTTAATTTAAACTTAAACCCCTAAAGTCAGGAGAAATACATGAAGACAAAGATGGATTTTATTACTGAGAATGAGATCATATTGTAGAGGATGAAGGGATCATTTCTCAAAGGAGAAAGGGTATTTTTAAGTAATTTACAATTTTTTACAAAACTAGTTTTAAAAAGTACTAAGATTTCATATACATTTGCAGACATGTATTCAAAAGTCGTTTTGATTTTTTTAAACACAAATGGGAGCATCCCATACGTATATAATATACATTAAACCTTTGTACACAACTCTAAAACCATACTTTAATTCTATAAACCTAGTTAACACCATAAATCACATAAACCCAAGTTCTCCTCAGATCTACTAAAAAAGTTCGAAATTGCAATACTTCAGGTTGTTCCACTGAGGGGCGCAATTGGCTTACAGTAGGAGAATCCTGGGTTACAATAAAGTATAAACCCAAAGCCAAAGGGCAGTTACACATGTGTGACAAACCAGCAAAGCTTTCATTTTACGAAAAGCATTTAATAATTACTTGGGAAATCTTATTCATCGTATACTTTATTATTATTTTTTTATCATCTACTTTACATAATCAATAGAGATTTTTAAAGTAAAGTATGAGAGCTGCCTACTTCCTCAAATTGTTTTAAGGTATCTGTGAAGACAAAACTATCCTATGTGATACAGGCAAATAATTATGTGCTTTTACCTATAGATACAAGAGGCGTTCCAGTAAGGGAAATATAAAATAACATGAACAGAGTAAAATCAGATAGACAAAGTAACAAAACAAAACTAGAAAACCCCTAACAGAGAAGTTAAAATGATGTAAATAAAAACTTAGCCAACTAGTAAAGATCACTGGAAATAGCACTAACTGTGAATAGTGAACTCTGAACTTATACTCTTAGGGGTGTAAAAGCAAAACATATTAGTACATTATAAAAAAGAACTCATGGACAACAATGTGGTGATTGCTTGGGAGAAGGGGATGAAAGAAGTGGATGAGGGCATGGGGTGATAAATGGTGATGGATGGAGACTTGACTTGGGGTGATGAACACAATACAGTGTACAGATGATGTGTTATAGAATTATGCACCTGAAACCTGTATAATTATGTTAACCAGTGTCACCCCAATAAGTGAAAAAAAATAACAAAGAAGAAAAGTACATAACCTAATAGATGAACCAAATAATTAACTGCAAAATTAGTTTGAGTGGGAAACAAATCTAACCTCTGAGGTTGATATCAGTGATGAAATGCCTTCCTCAGCATCAGATATTATAATGACACTAGAGGCCCGGTGCACAAAATTCATGCATTGGTGGGGGGTGTCCCTCAGCCCAGCCTGCACCCTTTCCAATCTGGGACCCCTCAGGGGATATCCAACTGCTGGTTAGACATCCCTCTCACAATCTGGGACTGCTGGCTCCCAACCGCTCACCTGCCTGCCTGCCTGATAACCCCTTACCGGTCCTCTGCCAGCCTGATCAATGCCTAACTGTTCCCCTTCCAGTTCAATCGCCCCCAACTGCCTCCCCTCACCCCCCGCCAGTCCAATCGCCCCTGACAGCCCTCCCCTGCAGGCCTGCTCCCCCCCAAACTGCCCTTCCCTGCAGGCCCAGTCACCCCTAACTGCCCTCCCCTGCAGGCCTGGTTGCCTCCAACTGCCCTCCCCTGCTGGCCATCTTGTGGGTTTGAGTGATGGTCAATTTGCATACTGGTCATGACTAATCAGCATACCAGGGCTAATTAGCATACCCCTCTCTTATTATATAGGATAACTTAAAAGGGGATGGGTCTGACAACATTCAGGAACTCTGCTTGACAATAGCTGTAGGGATGTGAAAAAGCCAACTAACTTAAATGGGAAGCCAAATTATGTGCGCAATTACACACACACACATATAAGATTTCCCAAAAAAATGTATACACACCTTAGCTGATAGTTCAGTTTTGAAAAGTAAATGTTTTTTTAATAAACAAGTGAGGGTGGGGAGGTTGGGGGTTAATGGGGGGATGAGGACACCTTTGTAATACCTTAACCAATAAAGAAATTTAAAAAAATAAACAATAAACACTGCCTTTATAATTATTCAAATTGTGTGTGTACATTTTTTTGGGACACCCTATATGTGTATGAATGTTCATGTCTATAAAAAGACAAAGAAAAGATCAGTCAAAATGTTTCATTAATAGATCAATTCAAAACCCAGGTAAGTGTGTGATTCTTTTCATTCTTATGCTTCTACTAGAGACTATTATGAAAAACAAGCTTCAAAAATCAGTGCAAGCTTTCAAAATTAACATTTTCTGAACCAAGTTATTGAATTAAAGGGATACTTACTGGAATACGTTTATATACATATCCACTTCCCTCATATCTGCTTGCAACCAATCTTTCTTAAATCCAAGGACAAGTGTGTTTGGTTTCATACGCCCAAGACCAGCAGCCTAAAATGAACGAAAAATAGAACTTTAAAGATATACTTAGTCTTTTATAAAAATCATAGTAACAGTTTTCTCAGTTATATATTTTGAAAACTAAAACCTATAAGCAAAAGACTAAATGCATTGTTGGTTACAGTTCTGAATCACGTCAACACTAAATGCCCCAAAAGCCAATGAAGCACTCCTTTTGTAAGATTTTAAAATTTGATTTCCAGGGTGTGTGTGTGTGTGTGTGTGTGTGTGTGTGTGTGTTATTGATTTTAGGGAAGAAGGGAGGGAGGGAAAAAATTAAAACATTTTGCCATTTTAACAATTTTAAAATGTATAATTTGTTGACATTAATTATATTCACAATGTTGTACAACTAACCCCACCACCTACTTCCAAAACAATCACATCAGAAATTCAGTAACCATTAAGCAATAATCACTCATTCTCACCTTCCTCCATACCTGGTAACATTGCCTTTAGTCTCTATGAATTTGCTTATCCTAGATATTTCCTACAAGTGGAAATATCAATGTATAGTGCCTTAACTATACAGCAAGAGCATCACGTGGAAACTTTTTGGAAATGCTAATTCTTGGGTCTTACCCCAGACCTACTGAAAGCATTTCAAAGGTGGGGCCTAGCAGTGTGTGTTTTAACAAGTCTACTAGGTGATTCTCATGCGTAATGAAGTTTAACCCCTTCCCCAACAATTTTTTTGTTAAAAACGTTTCTTTTTCAGACTAATTTTTTTATTTTGGTTCTATATAGTATTTTTGATGCTGGTTATGAAAACAGTTTGTAACTCGTCTTCCTATAAACCATATTTTTTTACCATATTTTCTTAGTATACTCGTCGACGACTGAAAAAGAACATTTTGTGAAAACGAGTATACACGTTTCTGCCGGGGAAGGGGTTAAGAACCATTGCTCTAAGAAAATATTTTCTTTCATAACATTTATTAAATATATAAGTAGTTATCAAAATATTCTTATAAACCAGGGGTCCTCAAATTTTTTAAACAGGGGGCCAGTTCACTGTCCCTCAGACCGTTGGAGGGCCGGACTATATTTTTACAAAAAACTATAAACAAATTCCTATGCCCACTGCACATATCTTATTTTGAAGTAAAAAAACAAAACGGGAACAAGTACAATATTTGTATTTGCATGTGGCCCGCAGGCCGTAGTTTGAGGACCCCTGCTATAAACTGTACAAAAGCAAGCAAGATTTACCCACTAGAACCAACTTTATGAACAGGAGTCATATTCTACTTGAAATAGTTACATATTTTGCACACAAAGGTGAATAAAGTAATAAATAATCATGAACCCACCGCCTAGCTTAAAAAAATGAACATTACAAACACTCATCAAGTGTCCCATGTATCCTTCTCATGCCCCCCTTTTATTTTCACTATGTATTCCATTATTTAGACACACATACGTATATATTTTAAATTTATATACTTAAAAAGTTTATATCTTAAAATTATTCATATAACTTACAGTTTTTCCTTCATACTTTTTCAAGTTTATTTTTGTTGATATATATAGCTCCTTTTACCATTATATAGAATTCCATTGTATTATTACACCACAATTTAATTTTGTGATTGATAGCTGAAGGCTGAAGTTTCTTCTTTTTTTTTTTCTTCCACTATCACAAGTGATGTTTGTAAGAAGTTTCAGATAGCCTTTTTCACATGTTAAATTTTCTCTAAGGTATACACTTAAGAATGGAATGTCCTAGGGTACCCATGTCCTAGGACAGTGATGGCGAACCTTTTGAGCTCAGCGTGTCAGCATTTTGAAAAACCCTAATGTAACTCTGGTGCCATGTCACATATAGAAATTTTTTGATATTTGCAACCATACTAAAACAAAGACTTATATTTTTTATATTTATTTTATATATTTAAATGCCATTTAACAAAGAAAAATCAACCAAAAAAATGAGTTTCTGTGTCACCTCTGACACGCGTGTCATAGGTTCGCCATCACTGTCCTAGGATATCCACATTTTGAAATTTGCAGGACGTTGCCAAGTTGCTGTACAAAGTAATTGTCCAATTTACCACACAGGTCAACGATTCCAATTTCTCTACACAATTTTTAACACTTGGCAGGCTTAATTTTGGTCACTCTGATGGGTATGCAGTTTTAATTTTTATTTCTATCATTTAGGTTTCCTCTTCACCTTGTATCTTTTGCTTCCTTTTTTCTCTTACTAATTTACTACTGGCTCGGTGCACGAATTTGTGCACATTGAAAGGAAATTAATTAGAAGAAATATTTTAATATCGCTGTTCGCCCTTTCTCTATAATAGAAGTGTCAACCAAATTCACGATCAACAATGACAGACTGAAACACACGCATGCAGTTGGCACCAGGGAGTGCTTTACATATATATATATATAAAGATAAATTTGCTTAATTAGACCCGCTTTCTGATTTAGCTAAACTTTTTCCAGCCGAATGAAGCACCCCAACTTCTCTTTCAGGTAAAAGTCAGCAACACAGCAGTAAACATCAACATATAGCAGAGTATTATTGTAGATCACA